TCTCAGGGGAGAATTGTCTTCTTTCCTTAACTCGCTTCTGCCAGGATTCTTTGTACCTTACATGAATTTTTATTACTGACACAGTGTACTATAGGTGTGGAAGAACTCAAGGATGATGAGCTTGCTTTCATCATCTACTTATCCAAAATATTCAGCCCAATGCTTGATATGTTTAGGATGATGGAAATGTTGCTGGTTGCTCAGCCTTATACTCACCAAATTCAGCATGATACCACATGAGCACACTGCAATAATGACTGCTGGTTGTCTACTTGGAAATCTCTGGGATCACCTAGCTTCCAGGCACATCTCAATTAGGTTGAGATAGGGACAAACACTCTAAAATGGGACAGCACCATTCTTTGGGCTTGGGCCCTGAACTGCATAAAAAGAGAAAGACAGCTGAGTTCAAGCATTCATGGTCTCTGTCCTAGACTGCTGAGACACGACCATCTGTCTCATGCTCCTGCTGCAGTGACCTCCCTGACATTAAGACCATGTACCCTTGAACAAACCCTTTCTCTTAAGTTGCTTTCGTTGCGGTATTTTTTGTTGTACAGGGCATTCTCCTTTTTATAAAGACAGCATTGTTATGTAACTGAGCCATTTCTACTGTAGCAGACTGGTATATGAAGAGAAGGGATCAACTGCCTTTTGCTAATGTGTGTATGTGAGAATATATATGCACCTGTGTGAGTTTGTGTGCAGAGAAAAATCTTGCTGTCATATTCAGGGACACCATCCATTTCCTTTGAGAAAGGGTCTCCCATTAGTTTAAAGCTCACAAACTTGTCTAAACTGATAGACCAGTGAGCCCCAAAGATCTTTCTGTCTTTGCTTCCCCAGAATTGAAAGTGTAAATGTATGTTATCAATCTAGGAATCTAGGCATTGTCACATAAGTTCTGGATATCAAAATCAGGTCTTCAATCTTACAGAGAAGCATTTTATTGACTGGGCCAACTCTCTAAGTCCCATACAGCCCTTAATTAATGCTCTATTTCAGCATCATGTTGCAAAATATTTATTTAGCAGAGATCTTATCTCAGTATTTGTTTAACGACTGTCCTGTAGTCACTCCTTGAACCAGTAGCCTTTAAGATACCAGCCCATTTGATATGGTCTCTTATACTATAAATGTCAATGTAAAGGTATGAATGATCAAAAAGAAATTAAGCAAGCAGTAGACAACAAAATGCCAAATGTTTTAATTATGGTAGAATCGGACATCTTAGAAGGGACTGTAGACAAGGCATTCCTAGAAATAATGTCTTCTCTGAATGGGAAAAATAGAAGATATCCACCTTCTGGATCATGTAGAATGTGTGGCAAAGGTCAACATTGGATCAATGAATATAGATCAATAAAAGACAGACAAGGCAACTCAATACCATCAGGAAACTCCTTGTGGGGGCCTATTGCAGGCTTTCAAGTCAAACATGGTCCAGTTATATCCAGTAACTGTGGAGGACATGTTTTACCAGGAAAATTAAAAAAAATCTATTGCCGGATGCAAAAAAAGTTATACTGATCTGGAAGATGGAATAAACATGGAGGAAAACTCAAAAATTCTTTTTTTTTGAGGAGATAGGAAGCATATATTTTGGAAATTTTCTATAAATGATCAAAGACCAAAGCTAAAAGTGCATATAAATAACATTGTAATTGAGGGATTACTAGACATGCGTGCAGAGGTGAGTATCATTACTTCAAAATCTTGGCATCCAAATTGTTCTCTTCAAGCAGCAGATGTTCAATACTTAGGAATTGGAACCCTATCTCAAGTGAAACAAGGTACAAGATGGGTTGAAGGTATAGGGCCAGAAGGACAAAGAGACAGGCAGAGGCCATATGTGGCTAATATTGCACTGAATTTATGGGGTCATGGACTGGTGCAGCAATAGAATACCTAGATTAATATTCCTGCAGTCCCAGAAACTCATGGATCTGGGAAGGATATTATAAGGTACTATAAACAAAGGTCACTAGTCATTCAGGCAGTATAAGAACACAAAGCAACTAGCAAAACTTTAGAGGTACCAATGGCCCTACTTTTAAAATGGTTAACTGAGAAACAAATTAATCAATGGCCTTTAACAGAAGACAAACTGCAGACTTTAGAATAGCTGGTACAGGAGCAATTAGATGCTTACCATATTGAAGAATCAACCAACCCTTGGAATTCTCCTATATTTGTTGTTAAAAAGAAATCTGCAAAATGAAGAATGGTGACAGATCTAAGAACTGTTAACAAGGTAATTCAACTATGGTGACTCTATAATCTGGAACACCTCTTCCTTCTTTATAAACAAAAGGAGGGCCTCTTATTGATTTAAAAGATTGTTTCTTCACTATACCTTTACAAGGAAAGAACAAAAAAAATTCCTTCACAGTGCCTACTCATAATAATTCTCAGTCTACTAAGAGATACCAGTGGACCGTCCTCCCAAAGGGCATGCTCAATCACTCCCACCCTGTGCCAATATGTTATAAGTCAGCCATTGGGAATAATGTGTAAACAATTTCCTAAATCTATAAATCACCATTACATGGATAACATTTTGTCTGATTCAAACATAGAAACCTTAGAAATATAATATAATGCTTGAAGAAGTAAGAAACTTTTGCCTAAATGGGGATAATAAATTGCTCCTGAAAAAATAAAACAACAAGATTCTGTCAATTACCTAGGTTATAAAATAGGTTTACAGAAAATTAGAACACAAAAGACACAAAGCAGGAGACACTGATTGCAGATTCTTAATGACTTTCAATGACTGTTCGAAGACATTGCCAGTCTATGACTGATCTAATAATTTATTTAAACAAAAACCTTAGATAGTGACAAAGTCACCGGGGAATTAAGAACTGAAGCTGGGAAAGAATTGATTGTCATTGAAGAGAAATTACAGGAGACACATGTGGATAGGGTAAATTCAAATCTTAATTGCATTCTACTCATACTACCTTTCAGAATTTCCCCTACAGGAATTTTAATGCAAATGGAAGATATTATCTTAAAATGAATCTTTTTTACCACATAAACCAGGTAAAAAATTTAAAAAAAAAAACTTATTTGGAAAAGGTCTCTGAATTAATTATAAAAGGAAAATTGTGACTTTGTCAACTAGCAGGAATAGACCCAGCAGAGATTATAGTACATTTTACTACTGATAAAATTTAAAAAATATGAGAAGACAATTAACCCTGGCAAAGATTTTGTGCTAATATTTTAGGAGAGATTAATAGCAATTATCCCAAAAGGATAAAATTAACCTTTAAAAGGAACTACTTGGATCTTTCCCTGCATTGTACATGATTTACCAATCACTGGAGCCCGTACATTCTATACTGATGCAAATAAAATGAGAAAGGTAAGTTACAAATCAGAAGATTTGAGTAAGATAAAACAAAGCCCTTATAATTATGTCCAAAAGGCAGAATTACATACTATTCTCATGGTACTAAGGAACTTTAAAGAACCTCTCAATATAGTTACTGATTTGCGATCTGGAGAAAGAGTTATCTTGCATATTGAAACCAATAAATTTAAACCAGATGGTACAGAATTGACTTCATTATTCATTCAAGTTCAAGATATAATCAGGAAAAAGCTTTGTCCCATATACATAACACACATCTGATCCTATATGGGTCTTCCAGGTCCTCTAGCAAAAAGTAATGCAGAAATTGACCGATTGTTGATTTGAAGTGTGCAGAAGGTCTCAGAATTTCATAAGAAACATGATGTCAATAGCAAAGTTTTAAAGAAAGAATTTTCTACTACACGGCAAAAAGCTAAGGATATTATAAAGAGATGTCCTACTTGCTCTTTCTATAACCAAACACTGCTACCTGCAGGGAGTAACACAAAGGGTACTCAAAGGAATGAAATCTGGCATATGGATGTGTTCTACTTTGCAGGTTTTGGAAAATGAAAATATATATACCACACCATTGACTTATATTCAGGCTTTCAATGGGAAACTGCTTTGAGCTCAGAAAAGGCTGATTCAGTAACTATGCATTGATTAAATGTTATGGCCTTCATGGGTATAACTGTACAAATAAAGACAGATAATGGTCCAGCATATGTCTCCAAGAAAATGAAATAGTTTTTTACTTATTATAATATAAAGCATATTACAGGTATACCAAACAATCAGACATGTCAGGCAGTTATAGAAAGATCAAATCACACTCTTAAAGGATATGTTAAAGAAACAGACAGGGATGGAAAATGCCCCCAGAAACAGATTGCATAATGCTTTGTTTACCTTGAATTTTCTTAACGCTAATAAGAAAGGAACATCAGCAGCTGAGAGACATTGGATAATAGAAAAACCTGAAATGAATGAGCCAGTGTATTTTAAGGATGTGTTGACCTCACAAGGGAAACCAGGAGATGTGCTACACTGGGGAAGTGATTTTGCCCTTTTTTCCACAGGAGAAGAAAAGCTATAGATATCATCAATATTAATAAAGATTTGGTTTGAAAAAGAGAAACCTTTGAGAAAAAGCAATGACAGCTCATCCACAGAGATGACAACCATACAGGAGGTAAGGAAACTTCTTAACGGTTGGGGAAGGGTTTTGTTCTTGTCTTTGCAGGAAAATACTTGTTTTCAAAAAGTCAAGAGACCCTGGACATCTAGATGTCTAATGAAAAAAAGATAATTATCCTGATAGAATCACCAAGCAAAGAGAATTATGACTTATGAGGACAGGTCATCTGAGGGTAAAAATCACTGAAACTATGTGTGTGCGTGTGTGTGTGTGTGTGTGTGTGTGTGTGTGTGTGTGCATATATATGCTGCCCAGTAGAATAAGAGTCAGGACTCACTTAAAAATCAAAGCTGGCTTTGGAGTTGGATGATGGCTCTATCCTTCTCTAAATCCAAGCACGTTAAAAGAACAATTCAGTTTCTATCTCATGTCAGGAACCATCTGGTATGGGACAGAAAGAAAAAAGAATTTATAAAAAAAATTCACTTTTCTCCATACTTATTTTTGTCTTTATTATAGCTTTTGCTGAAAATCTGTCTATATAAATACTGTTTAAGTTTTTGTTTCCAGGAAGAAGGTTGGGCCTCACAACAATGACTCCACCTGTTTGATTTGACAGCATGATGCTGATAGCACTACTATAAGACCAGTTTTGGGTACCAGCTGCTCAAAATGGTTCCAACTTGGTTAGCTTAAATGGTACACCTTCTTCCAATGGTCTGGCCACAACTTCAAATAGGAACCTCAGAAAAACCCTACAAAATAATCAGAGAATATTTACAATTATACCAGGCAGTAATCTTGAAACTTAACCATCATTTTACTTTTACAGAATCCTATAGAAAGTACATTGTCTCCATGACAGTTGGAAGTAATTCTAGAAATTGATTTCACCTCTCCCAACAAAGTTTGTCCTCAGGGTTAGGGACATCAAGTAGGGGTTGATTATAACTGGTGTAGGGTTGGGAGTTGGGTGGAATTTGTGCAAGCTCAGGGGTCTCTTTGAAAAAAAGAAAAAAATGGGGGGAAATTGGATGGGATAATAGGTAGATTAGTGTGAGCTTAATCACACTAATAATAATAGTGAGTAATCGAGTGAATACTTGTGAGCTATTATTTATAGGCAATTTACATTGGTATAGATTGTTATATATTAATACAAATTCAAATTATATTTGTTTTATTTAATATGCTCCTATTTCTGTTTACATTGTGAGGTCATTGTCCTCATTTGTTGCACAATTGTTTGATTGTTTAATATTCTAATATAAAGTCTTAATCTTCGAGTTATATAGGTATTAATAATTATACCATGTTTATCATACTTATAGTTCGACTAATCAGATTCTTTCGATACATAGAGATTGTATTCTGTATAGATAGATAATCTTCAACCACTTCAAAGAACTGTCAAATATTGCATTTAAATAATTTGAGTTTCTGTTGATATGAGACACAATTGCGCCTGTTAGCACCAACCTATTTTTGAAAGAATTTGAGCACCAAAAACACTCCCCTTGGAGCTTGGTTTTTTTTTTTTTTTTTTTTTTTTTTGGTACAACTGGCCTTTGGGCAAAGAACTGCCCATGCCTCAACCACTGACAAAATGCATAGTGTCCAGACAGGACAAGCAGGATACAAGATAAAAGACTGTCAAATCTTGCCAATACAGGGTAAGACAGTTTTGAAAATTTTCCTGCCTCTGTAAATGTTCTGTCAGTTTCTCTAGGCCCTAGCCAAAGTTGGTTGCTCCAATGTTGCAAATGAGACTTTGGGTGATTGTCCAAGTAGCCAGTTGTCTCTGACATTTATTGAACATTTTAGAAGTTCCTTGATTGCACTTCCTATTTACTCAAGTAATATTATTTCCCTTCTCAGGTCTTTGATTGGATTGAAGACTAGATGGTCATAGTTACTTCCCTCTCATGACTTGGCTAAGCTAGTTCTAATATAAGACTTAGACTCCTTATGATGGGATAATTATTGAAAAATTTAGCATATGTTTCTTGCTTAATATTGTTTATGCTGATTGTAATTCTAATTTTTATACTTGATATCAATTCTTATTGTATATAGTTTTGTATTGGGTTTGGAACTCTCTTATTTAAACAAATGGGGAGGAGCTGTAGGAACTCCTTCAGCCAGTAAACTTTAAGATACCAGTCTACTTGTCATTGCCTCTTATACTATAAATGCCTAAGTAAAGTGCAAGTTCCTTCTATCTCCTGGCTGCTGGATTTGGTTCCTTTTTTGTGCAGATGACTGTGATCTGTGATTCTACCCCTAAATAAATAACCCTTTGTTATACTCAATTCTGAGCTAGTATGTGGTGTGGGAAGTCTGGAGTTCCAAGCAGATGGAGGAGGAGAGAGGAGGCAGATTTAGTGAGAAGGCATGTATCCACTGCCAGGGACAAACATGTGTACTGGAACCTGCTGAAACTTTGCCAGTAGGCCACGACCTCATTGTGATGCACAGATTAATGAAGACTGGTTAGTTTAGGATATAAGAGTAAGACAGAAGCTTACTTAAGTTATTGGCCCTACACTATTGTAAATAATATAGTTTCTGTGTGTTTATTGCTGGACTGGGCTGGACAGAAACCTTTGCCAAAAAAGTATGGGATTATTTTATAACTTCTATCATCACCGCTGTTCTTGGGAAAGTCCTGAGTGGTAAAACATCAATAGATCATACTTGTGAAAAGGATTTGTATTTAATACACTGTTTGTTCATCTGTCTCTAATTAATCTTTTTTTTCCTTGAGAGTAGGTGAGATTTCTGAGACTATCATGATATTCAGTAATGTGTTTTTCTGTCTCCTATAGGCCCAGACATGGGTGTTGAGGACTCTGTGTTCTAGGATGAGAACCTAAAGATGGAGCTACTGACAGGAATGCACACTCTTCTGTGCACAGCTGGGAAGACGCTGGAGAGGTGATGTCCAGGAAAGTTTGAAGTGTGTGTCCACTAAATACTACAAATGCCCTTTCACATCCTATGAATCTGATTAGTTGGTTACATATATTGTTTTTGTGTTTGGAAACTTAGAGGAATAGTAGCAGTAAGGCTGGAAAAAATCTTTGGGCTAGTTTGTAGGTGGGTACACTGTTAGTGTAACAGGCATGTGCCACCCACCATGCTCATTGGTCAGCACACTTTTGATGCTTTCGGACAGTGTCTCTACGAAGTCCAAGATAACGTGGAATTGCCAGTGCCATGACCACCTTTCTGCTGCCGTACTCCCAGCATGATCATCATAGACTATCACTGTCTGGAATTGTAATCCCACAGTAAACGGGTCCTTCTAGAAGTGGCCTTGGTCATAGTATCTCTTTACAGCAATGGAAATGTAACAAGACAGAGATACTGAAGGAACCACCCGCAAGAGTTTGAGGCAGGCCTACAGGTCTCCTATGCTTGCAGATGCCTCAGGGAAGTCAACAATCTAGTCTAAAAAGAAGAAAAATAAGAAAGCGTGACATGAAGGAACACATAGCAGAAACACGCTGCAACATTGGCACCCAGAAAGAGGAGTAAAGGTGACAGTTGCATTAGGGGACAGATGACATGCCATTGACTGCCCAGTCAAAACATCCAGCCTAATGATCAGAATGGACAGATGAAATGGTTTAGTGGGGCAACACAGAGCCTGGGCACTGAGCTACACTCCTCCAGCCTCATTGGCTCATTCTCAATTCCTAACCCATAGGACTGCTTAGAAGAGAAGATCACATCCTGCCTGCCCGCCCCACCCTACCCCTGCCTCTGGGAAGACTCTTTCTGAAGGTGGGTGGATCTATACCTCCTGGTAGTACTGCTACCATTTTGGCATTTTGGTCAGTCTCCTTCCTCGCTTTGCCCTTTTTCTCTTCTTTTCTTTGCTTGGCTCATTAATGAGATCTTTTCCTCCATCTTCCCACTTAGTGTGTTGTGCAGCATTCACTCAGCTCTTTGGAATGCTGTGGGTGGCAGGGGTTTTTCTCCTCCATTTCATAGGCTCAGTGGTGTAGAAAGAGAAGTACAAACCCTGGCACTTCTTTTTGTGAACACTCTGATGAAAGGCTAAGTGATAGACACAAATCTTAAAACAGGTGGCAAAGGGGCATGGATGACACCTTTTGCAGCAGCAGATCCTTTCTCAAGGCACCTCATCAAGCTGGCATGTGCCCAACAGCTCCATTTAAAGAGAATCTTATTTTACTCAAACCCCAGATGGGCTGTGCAATGAATGGGTCATTGGATAAATGCCCATTTTTTTCCCTCCACTAAGCCCTGGGTCTGCTTCTCTTACACCCTAGTCATTGTTGCTGCTTCTCTCTTTCATTAAATTCTTTTGAAGTTGGGGATTATTTTTTTCTGTCTTTGAGGAATTCCTTCTGGCTCACGGATTTCAGAAGTGTGGGCACATTAAACTTTTCCCTCCTCTTTTGAATTAATACTGTACTCCACTTTTTTTTCTTTCCATTTTTGGGGACCAACTACTGAGTTGTTTTATATTACATTTTCATCTCAGAACTGTTTGAAAATGGAGCTCATGCCATGCACGTGAATATTTTGCCTCCTCTTGGCTGATTTAATCAGCATGGAGACCATTATTCATGCAATTGCATGAATAATTTATTTCACTGTTGTAAAAGTTTAATAAAAGTTTTCTTGTCTTTATCAAATTCCATGTTACTCTTTGTTCATTTCATAGCAGCAACATAAGCAGAATATAAAGCAGGTTCTATCAAAAACGATGAATGACATGTGCTTCATTATGAAACTTGTGGGGTATATCTTATTCTCCTCTTACTTATGATTGAATACAATTTTAAACACATGGATAAAAACATAATTCTCTATAGACTAAGCAAGACCAGCATTAACTAAACCATGCCATTTAAAGCTTTGAAAAAAAATTATTTACATTGTAGCATAGATGCTCATCCTTATTTGGGTTATGCAAGGGAACACATAGTTCCTGTCCTTGCATAAGCATGGATAATGATGTGACTCTGCTGTCTACTGTGTGATTGTAAATTAGCTAAATCCTTAGCCCATGATTATTTCTGATGTGAGTAGAATCACTTCAAAGAAATAGTATTTCTTTACAGTTAAATTTTCTGTGAAATTCCCAGATTAGGCAGTTTTTAATCAGTGAAGTCACTCTGCAAATGAAAAGTACCATATTAATATTTCTATGTCTCATTTGATGCTGGAGTGGCAAATTTTCCAAATAAGAGTAGTTATCACCTACAACTGAATCATAAGAGAGACCTGTTATAATCACACCGTGGATGCTGCAATTGAAAACGTGCAATTCTTTTGTGGAAGACAAGTGCTCAGCTCCTGAAAGCTGAACATGTATTCAAGACGGTTATGGAAGATCCATATAAATAAAATATGAAGGTACTTATGACATGAGCAGTGAGGGAAATGTACTAGTCACATTCCACAACTCATTAGTGACAGAGGCCCACAATGTCTCATCTTAAACAGTTGTGGCTAGATGACCATTAGAAATCAGAGTTTAGAGATACAAAGCAATGTATATAACGTGTAATCTACCATCCCAGAAATTGTATATAAGTCCCTTACCACAAAATTTGTTTTCCACCACAAAAAAATTGTGAAGGTCCATTTTACATGAGCTAATTCATTCCAAGTGCTATATATAAATAAATCTGATTATATTAAATTCTGTTGTCAAATGAGGTCATAAAATGTCAAATTCTGCTGCAAATTAGCCACTTTGGTGTTGTAAGAGGTCACTTGTTTTGTTCCTGGCTGTTCAGCCTCAAAATGATCACACAGAAACCATATCATTTGCAATACTGTTTGATCAATAGCTTAAGCATATTTCTAACCCGTCTCCATCAATCTGTGTATTGCTATGTGGCTGTGGCTTACTGACTAAAGTTCCATCCAGTGTCTTTCTCTGGCGGGCTACATGGCTTCTCTTCACTCTGCCTTCTTTCTCCCAGTATTCAGTTTAGTTTTCCCTACCTACCTCTATTCTGCCCTGTGCAGGCCTAAGACAGTTATTTATTAACCAGTGGAATTGACAGCATACAGAGGGGAATCCCACATTACTTCAGCTTCCACAAATTATAGACCCATTTATACATAAGAATAAACATGTATGAGCTCAAGTTATGGTCTCCATGCTGTGCTAGACACTGTGCCTACAAACAAATATGAGTAGTAATTAAATAATATTTTTTATATTTGGAAAAGAAAACAGAAGGATGAAGTGGAAGAGGAGAAAAGGGTAGATGAAGAAGTTCATCTAGATAAGTCTAGGGAGACAGAGGAATTAGTTTGTAGATAAGTTCCCACCTCCAGTCTTATAAGAAATATATTTTCATGAAATTTATAGTAATATAATCTTTCCAGAAATGGTACTTCATGCTGACTTTGGCAGCTAAACAATGTACAGTTCAGAACCCTTAAAATTCCGTATTACTAAAAGCAAAATTTAACTTAATTATGCCACAACAATTTAAAAATATTAGTTGCTTATAACAGTGTTTTATTTTCTGATTAGATTTTAATAGATATTTTTCCATGTGTCTTCTTTTCTATAAAAGGCTCATGGTTTTGCTGTTACCAAGGACTCAACTAATCTTATAACAGGGAAGAAGAGGGCAGGAGAAGAGCCATACAATGACTTCCAAAACTGTGGCCAGAATGGGGACAGACATGTCATTGTTACTTTTCACTGATCTATGCTATTTGCATGATGAAATCTGACATTAAGTAAGCATAATCTCCTACATCAATGGCTAGTGGTGGTGGTGTTCAAGAACAAGGCAAGCAGCACTGATTCAATGTCCCACAGCTTGGTTTATCATATTATAATTCGCATCCTTTACTGAACAAATGCCTTGTCTCCTCTCCTCTGAGCCCAGATTGAATGAGTGATAAATCAACTACCTTCCATCAATGGAAGATGGGTTCTATCAGGTGAAGAATATTCTATGTTCAGAATCTTATGATGATGGGGGCTGGCATGTTGAATGAAATGTGTCAAGGAAGTTCAGTTAGAATGCATTTTCTAATGCACAGCTCACAGATGTATGAGGCAGAACAGGTAGGCAACAAAAGTTGCCTACACCTCCCACATGACTGACGGCACGAAAGTGTTGATCCTCGTTCTGCTGAGAGATGCACTGAGATGTGGGCTAAATATGCAGCAAATAAACACTGGACGCATAGCAAAACATTTGAGAAGCCACCCCACATCCACCTCAGCCTCCACCTAGCTGCCGAATGGAAGTATGACAAAAGCTAAGATCCAAGCAGCCAAGGACTGGTAGATTTTGTTAGTTGTAATGAAGCTCAGATGGTCAGATTCAAAGTGGAAGAACCAGAAGAACAACAAAGGAGTCAGGCATGGTAGTCCATGACTGCCATTCTACCACTAGAGAATCTAAGACAGGAAGATGACAGGATCAATGTCAGCTTGGGCTTCTGATGATGTCCTTATCTTTACAAGCTATCAAGCCAAACACCACTGCAGAAAGTTGAAAATCTAGGATAGTATCAAAGGATTGCTAGTGGGAAATAAGACTTGAAGGTATCTCCAGAATTATACAAGTGTTCAGATAAACAAGTCTCAAACCCCTTTATAAAACACTTGAAACCTATAATAAGCTTTATCTAACAAAAACCACAAGAAACCTCAGAGAGCCAACTCCATTTTATATAAGATTATTTCAGCTTCATTATACATAGCCTGCTAGAGGCATAGGCATACTTTGCTCTTGGACAAGGAATTATTCATATTTCTTCTCTACACCATTTCTGACACACAATTCAGAATTATGTGGAATGAAATCAAGCATAATGATGACAGTAAATAGTCTGTAGACATAGATACAAACTTAGCCAAAATGTCAGAACTAGCAAAAAATATTTAAATATCCTAATTTTTTTAAACTTGGTAATATGTGTGTCCTGCTTAGGACTGGGCACTCAACAGTCACTTCTCAACACTTTACTTAGTTGAGGCTCTTCATTAGTTACTATTTCCGAGAAAAGATGTTTCTCTGATCAGGGCTGAAGAAAGCACTAAACTGTGGATATAAACATCAATATTTAGAAGGCAGGGTAAGAGCCTATCCCTTTAGCAAAAAGAGGCTGTTTGTTCTTCCCGAGGCCAATGACCTCCCTCACCATGGACTCTTAGCTGGGTTTATAATACCATGCATGAATTCCTTTTATAGAGTAGGTATCATATCTAATCAGAAAATGGCTGTTGACCTTCATAATAATCATTCCATTGTGGTATCAGTGGGCACATCTTGCTTGGCATGTTGGCACTGTAGCCCAGAGAATTCACAGCTACTCCCTTAACAGCCCTGAGCTCTACCTGTTGGAGCTACAGAAGCTGTGCAGTAGGGAAGGAGATTCCAGCTTAGTTCCAGCTTGAGTTCCCGTGTCCTACAGCCAATAAGTGCAGTGTAATAGAGTCTTACATACTTCTTATGGGAAAGAGAAACAACGCGAATCGCATGAATTCTTTAGTGGGCATCTGGGGACTCTCTGGCCAAGAACTCACAATGAGGTATTTCACTGGGATTTCATTTAGTAACTTTTGGCTTCAGGGAACAGCATTGTCCACCCATCTATTACCCTCTGTTGGCTCAGGTAATACCATGGGAAAGAGAGCAGAAAGGTGGTAAGAGCCAGAAGACAGGAAAAAATACTGTGAAACAGTCTCCTGGATATGACACAGCATTGCACTCATGAACACACAGCAGCTGTAGTTGCCTACACAAAACCTGAGCAAGATCAAATCTGTTAACATTGCAGCATGGATGGGGAGGACCTCATGTGGCCCCATCTGTCCCTGAAAGAGTTCTTGGCAGTTAATACTTTCTGGGGTTTCTTCATTGGTGTAACCACTGTTAAGTTGCCCATGCTCTAGCAAATAATGGCGAGCAACCATAACCAAACTCGGTGGTTCCCAAAATAAGATATGAAAGTAGGAGGGATCTTCAGTAGAAATAGGAGGAAGTAAGAGAAGGTAATGATGAGAAGTATACAAGTAGAATACATTACATATATGAATTGGACAAAGAATAAAACTATTATTAAAAACTTATGGAAAACTTAGTTAATGGAGAAATGGGTGAGAAATGTCATTTCAATCGAGCTCTAGAAAAAAAGAAAAGCATCCTCTAAGACTTGATGGTAAGACTATATTGCTAAAGATACCACATACTTACAGAACATGGAGAAATCAAACTGGTAACAACCTGGAAACTTCATCCTTACTACTACCTTTCATAAGTTAGACAGTGATGTGCATTCTACCAGAGGAAAAATGTAATTATCAATCTCACCAAGTGAAGAACCCTGTGAGTTAGAATAATGTCTAGCCTGAGAAGATATTCCCACTGATGCAATAGTGGCATAAATGCCATGGGAGTAACCAGTCACTTCCTGATTGGGACAAAGGCCTACTCCATACCTGGCACTGTTAATGAGGCCAATATTCCCTAGCAAGGTATAGTATAGGCCTTAGTGGAAAACCTTAAATTCTTATTCTACCAAATGGATATAGTATTAAAAAAAATGACTCATAATGATCCGTACCCATAGATCACTACAACCCTCCACCGTCTACAGAGAAAATTCTTCTTAAAGTAGATGACAGTTAACACAGAGACCTTCAACTGTTCAGTTTTCTAAGAGTAAGAAACCATGAGGTGCTCTTCTCTAAATAGAATTTACATATCACACATACACACATAGCTTTGGAATGTACAGGAAAGATGGGGCAGAAATATTGTAAGAGTCAGAGGTGATAGATACCTTAAAAAACTGTTTTTACAGACACATTAGGGTAGATGAACATATGAACTTACATGGAAACTGGGTGTGTCTGGAGAGGTGGACATATATCCAATCACTAGCTGAGGTGATATTGGCATTTAGTAGCTTCTAGGAGAAGAAAATAGGGTTTTCTTAAATAGTGTGACCCCTGAGAGGTTGACTACAATCCAGAGCATGACCTACTTTCAAAAGTAGTTGCAATACACACAGAATTCAATGGCAGGCAAGCAGGAAGGAAGGAAGGAAGGAAGGAAGGAAGGAAGGAAGGAAGGAAGGAAGGAAGGAAGGAAGGAAGGAAGGAAGGAAGGAAGGAAACTCAAAATCAGTTGAGTATATAGGTGATAGTGCATATCTTGGAAGAACTGAAAGGGTTGAGTTTGATTAAAAATACATTGTAATGCTATTTATAAAATGAAGAACTTGCTTTATTTGTTTTATACCACATACAAAGAGGAAGGATCAATGAATTTAAAGGCAAATGTATTGGAATTTTCCAAATTGCAAATTGTCAAGGAATTGAAATTAGACTAGAAAGAAAGAACACAGCATGTCCATCCTGTTGGGAGCTATGGTCAGATGTCCTGTGTGAAAATCCTTGTGTACACGCAAAGGAAAGCAGCGAAGGAAACATCTAAAAAGTCATTTGCCAAGAAGTACCCCAAATTTCTTAACACATTCCTCCTACCCTACTACCCTTCTTCTTACTGCCCTTCCCCCTCAGACTAGTCCCCTACATTCCACTAAACTGTTTCACTTCTACTTTCTCTACTCTCGTGTCACATGCTATTTTTATGTATTTACATAAAATCTAGGAATCTCAAATCAAAGAAAAAGAAAAATATGATACCCATATTTCTGAGACTGGTTTGATTTTTTGAGTAAGGTTTTCACAAGTTTTATCCATTTTCTTACAAAATGACAAATTTTCTTTACTCCTTATAGTTGAAAATAAAGTCACACTGTTTATATACACCACATCTTCTTCATTCATTCCTCTGTTCATAAACTCCCAGACTGATTCTACAGCTTAGCTTTTATAAACATGCTGCAATAAACACATCTTAAAAACAGGGGACACACGTGCACACAGACATACTTATAGAAGTTAGCATGTGGGGAGGGAGGACAATAGAAATAAAGGTAGGTTGCTCAAAGTAAATAGTGAGAACTGATTCGCAATGCTATAATGCTTTTAAGATAACAAAAGGGAAAGGAAAACTATCATTCATAAAAATTTTATTTCAAAACTATAGTAAAATAGCGATATTTTGAAAGAGATAAAAACTTGAGAGGGCTTGACTTTAGCAAAAAAAATACTTTTAAGATACATTGAAAAAAATTCTCTGAATACATCAAGCATTCTGGAGTTCAGATGATAAATTTCTACAAAGTGTGTGTAGCAAACTATAAGCTGCTTTCCAAAGGAGTAATCTCTCATAAAGAAGTAATGGGTTTTCTATGAGTTCTCTGCTAAGATTCTATTCTGTTGAACCTAACCATAGGCCTCATATCTCACTGTGATCTGTCATAAACAATTCAGTGTTATTGGATCAGCTGCTACAAGTTCAACAGTAGAGCTACTTTGAATGAAGCCAAGACTAACTAAAGGTTCTTTTCTTGTGCTAGGAACATATATCTAGTGAAGATATTTTCATACACAGCATAAAATTATAGCTGAAGCAAACAAAATATATCTGATAAGTTCTTAAAGCATATTCTAAAATAATGTAACACCCTTTTCTATTGATTCATTGCTGAATGTCAATGGCATAAATATAGTAGTTTAAAACAATAATATTTTAATTTATTCACAAAAGTTTAACTTATAGGGCAGTTCATAAGTGTCCCTCATAGTGTATCAGCTCACAATGTATTTCCAAGATGATTCAGTCTCATAACTGACAAGTTTGTCATAGCTGCTGACTGGGTCTTACCCGAAGTAGGTGGCTGCTTCCTTGAGTTTCTCACACACATCTCTCACGGGTCTGTTTGGTCTTCCTTAGAGCATGTCAGATCAGATATAAGAAGAAAAATTCCTATGTAAGATTCAGAAGCCACCAATGTCTTAAACTACAGTTCAATACACTCAACACCACTACTACCAGGTCTCTTGCTCAAAATAGTTTGGCCATCCAAATTGAAGGGACAGAGTAAGGACTCCTGCATTTGATAGAAGTAACAAAGAACCATTTATCTTTTATTCACCATGCCTCTTTTGTACCTTTGTACAATTTCATAGTGTTTATAGCTCACCAAACACCTTATCATTTGGCTTTTATTTGATCCATCATTCCATTAAAAAATGTTTATTCTCAGTTAACATAAAAAGCTGATGTTCAGCAATATTTACTAATTCAGTTTATTACACAAAAAATAGATAATTTAACCATTAAGTTTTCCAAAACCAAATGTAGACTGGCTCCTCTCCTCATTATAATTCACAAAAGATTTTTATTCTGACTCAATGAGGAATTGCAAATAAATATTATTTTCATAGATCATGAATTTGTCATCCAACCCCAGCATTGTGTTTCTCCAAAATGTGATGAGAATGTCTTAACCTCTGGCATTGAGAATCTGGAAAACCTTGCTCCAGATGATCTTGCTGATTTTGAAGCATTAGTGTCTAGCTGCTCAACCTCTTTCAGGTATATGTGCTCTTTCTTTTTCTCTATTAGATGCACCCAAGATTTCTCCTCTAAGGTTAACTTCCTTCTGATTATCTCAGATGGAGCTTCTGAGTCATTCCTTTGCTTCAGTTCCCTACTGCTGTGGAATGTTTGTTCAACTATGTAAAGATGTGTTGCTGTTTAACCTTGCCTGCCTGCCTAAGGCTTCTGATTGGTCCAATAAAAAGCTGAACAGCCAATATTGAAGGAGAAGGTATAGGTGGAACTTCTGGGCAGAAAAAAAGATACCAGGGCCCAGCAAGTCAGACACAGAAGAAGCAAGAAAGTAAAACATAGAGAATGAAAAGAAAAGGTTAAAAAGCCCCAAGGCAAAATGTAGATGACTAGAAACAGGTTAGATTAAGTTAAAAGTAGTGGGACCAGTCTAAGGTAAGGTTAAGCATTCATAATTAATAATAAGTCTCCATGTCTTCATTTGGGAGCTGGTTGGTGGCCCAAAGAAAATGCCAACTACACCCAACCTTATTTATTGCTCTACACACCTTGGTATGTGTCGTGCACTGTTTCTTATAATGTACTTAAGTATATCTTGTCCCAGAATTAAGGTTTTAGAGGGCACAAGCTGTGAGACAATGACTCTTATTTCTTCGTCTTTGCCTACAGGAACTATCAGGGTAGTTTGTACATGGCAAGTGCTCAATAAATATCTGTTAGAAGAAATGGATAAGCAATTTCAAGAAATTCTAGTGCAAATTGTTTACATAATTGTTGAAATCCCTTTATATTACTACTTCTACAATAATTCTCCTCAAGAACTCTATCTTGGTTGCTTAAGATTTGGTACGCTATATCATATACTCATTTAAATGAGAATTTTGAGACTCTCATAAGCTTAATTCAAATCTTATTTCGGCTTTTGAGACCAAGTTTAAGTAATTAAATGAGCAGCTATCAACCAGAAACAAATCACCAAGAGAATATTTAAATAATATTCTATTTTACTTTAATGGAAAATAAAATTAGAATTCCGTTACCAAAGTACAGCTTGTTCTCAGTTTAAAAACATAGGAGTTGATCGTGTGGAAATACATTTCATGAATATAACAAAATTTCTGCTTTCTTCTTACATGTACTAATTAGAGTTATAGAAAATCATAGGTCTATGCTTAAAGAGAAAACCCCTTCTCTTTTTACTTGCTACTAGAATAAGTGTAAAATGCCAGTGTAGCATGAAGCTTTGCATCCATCACAATAACACTAATTAATGACAATACCAAAAACAACCAGGTCTTACCGGAGCAACACAAGTCATATCTCACTCTTAGCAGTCCAATGTGGATGTGTCTAGCCAGGCAGTGGTTCATGATTCAGACTCCTCCACTCTATAGATCTTCACAGATACTAGCAGATTCATCCAGAAATCAAATAGAGCAAAGATTTATAATATAAAATAATAACCAATTTCCCAAAAATGAATGATTACTTAGTGTCCTTACACATTAAACAATAGCCTAACAGCTAGACATTAAGCTGGAGTTAGATTACATGCAAAAGCTATTTTTAAAAGATTTACTTTATATTTAGCTGTGCATACATGTGCGTCTATGTACAGGTTTATGTTTATGTGTGCAGGTGCCTGTGCATGAGGAAGACAGAATAGGTTGTCAGATGTCCTGGAACTGGAGTTAACAGTATTTGTGAACACTGGGACCTGAACATGAGTCCTCTACAATGCCATTATGTGGTCTTAACCACTGAGCAATTTCTCCAGCCCAATAAGAGCCTTTTAATGAATATTGTTAGCTGTATAAATCAAAATTAGCATATACATTCTCCATGTAATTCCCTATGCTTCTTTACCTTGACAAAATCGACTTTGTATTTTTTGGCATGTATTAATATAGAGCTAAGATTCTCTATTGAAACCAGTTTCATATAATTTACTATGAAATTGTTTTGATGTTATGTTGAACTAGAAACTTGATTTACTTGATTAATTCAATTTAAATGCTATAATTACTGGAGTAATTCTACTTAAATACTATAATTTACAAAATATGATGTATTTACAAGAAAAGTTACTTTGGATTTAACTTGGTATTCATAGTCACTTGAGTAAGTTTCTTTAGATTCCCAATTTCAATTATAAGGTAAGTATAGACTAATATATTATCACACAACACAATGCAAACACATATAGAGGGAGGGCATCCGGGGGAGAGAGGCAATGTTTAGTCAAGCGAGTGCTCTAAGTTCATGATCTGATGTGTCCCTCTGCTCCAAACGTAATTGTCTTTATTACTTTTCTATTGCTGCCATGAAACACCATGAGCAAGGTGCCTATAAATCAAAGAACTGAATTTGGCTTTGATTTCAGAGAGTTAGAGCCATGGTACCAGGGTGAAGGAACAGCTGAGAATGCACAACATGATCCACAGCCACCAGGCAGAAAGAAAGAGAGAGAACAAAGGGAACTGCACGAGTCTTTCGGATCCTCAAAGCCCATCCACTATGACACACCCTCTCCAACAAGGCCCCATCTCTTAATCCTTCCCAAAGAGTCTACCACCCTGAGTCCAAGCATAAGTTCACATACATGAGTCTGTCGGAATTATTCTAACTCAACTCACAACAGCAGTATTTGTACTTAATTTTTTAAAAAGAGAGCAAAAAAAAAAAAAAGACTCGGATTTTAAAAGCACAGCAAACAATTCTGTAGTTCAGAAACAACCAAGGTGAAAAAGATGAGCAGGTGTAAATTATAGGCCCTGCCAAATTTTAGTTCAGAAGAAAACATGAAATAGGCACAGACTTCCTCATGGTGTCAAAAATCTGAACCGATAGGAATGGAAGCTAGTAGCTACTGTGGACCTGCCTTCTGTACTAAAGAGTCTAGGAACATACTGCTCAGCATTCCAGTTGCTAAGTCACAAGGCAAGCTGAGAATCTGGATATACTGAAAGAAGGTGGTCTTGTAACTAGACACAGTACCCCATGTTTGATGAAGAGACCCACAAGTGTCCCATGATCAAGAAAGAAAGCCTCATTGATCAAAATTACAAAAGGTCACTGTAACACCAACCTCTGTGCCATAGCTCTGGGGCTTGAAGGTGGTACCCACAAGATGACTTGGCAAAGGGAAACACTGGTAGAAAGAAAAAAGGAAAAGCACTTGTTATAAAACCAACATATTTCTCTTTAAAATGAGTCTGCAACCCAAGGTTCTAAGGTACACAAAAAAAATGCAATTCATAAACAGGCAGCCTTCCAGAAGAAATCACGCTGTACAAATAATTTCAGTATATATTAAATTGTCAGAAATCAAAAGTGAAGGACTACAACTTGTCTAAAGTAAGTATAAATATTTTTCTCTGAAGTGCCAAGTAATAACTATTTTTTAGCTTGCCTGGCTATACAGTCTCTTGCACAACTGCTCAGTTGTGCTGCGGTTGCAAGAAAACAGCTATAGACAGCATGCCACTGAGTGGGCATGGCTGCGTGCCAGGAAACCTTTCCACAGAAGCTAGCAGAGGGAGAGACAGATATGGAGCACTGGCCATAGTATGCAGACTCCTGAGGTCATGACCCATGATGTCATGTAGTGAGATAAGACAGAATGCAAGAGGAACTGGAGATGCGAAAAGGAAACCAAGTGGAAACAAACAAACAAACAACAAAAAAAAAACCCAGACATTAATACACAAAGTTCAAAGGAAAATCGATGCCTTTTAAAGGAAGAAGGGAGGAGTAGCAGTAGGGAGAGGAGAGAAGGAAAGGGAAGCTTTGCAGAATTCTTTTATTGTTTGACATTAACTATTCCTGCCTCCTTGTTCGACAGTGTACAATAACTCTGACTCCTTATTCAGCATTCAGCAATAACCCACTCCACCCATTTCCAGCTTCTCTGTGTATACATGTGTCTGGCTGTCACCGCAGTTAGGGCTGTCCCTGGTACCATTCAGGATGTGGCATATCTCCTGTGGGCTTCATTTTTAAAACTATTATTACTATTAATAACTTCCAGAGTCTAATTAGTGCTGGGAGTATGCAGGTGGGTGTAGGCTCTCCCACTGGGACACAGACCTACTAGAGGTCACTTCCTTTAAGAAAAGTGACTGTCCCTCCTTCAGCAACCATCAATTGCCAACAGCTATTCCTAACCCAAAGGCCATAAAAAATTATTGAATTCAGTAGACAATAAAAATAAACATAAAAGTAAGTAATGGATTTGTAGGGTAATAATCATAAATGGGTATGTGGGGGACCAGAGGTAGCAGAGGGAGAGACAGGTCAGTATGCATTATACACATGTCAACAGTTATCAAAGAAAACTTCTAAAAATTAAAAATAGTCTGGCGTGGTGGTGCACATTTTAACCCCAGATTTAGGAGGCAGAGTCAGGCAGATCTCTGTGAATTTGAGGGCAGTCTTGTCTACAGAGCAAATTCCAGGACAGCTAGGGCAATGCAGAAAAATCCTGGTTTAAAAAAAAAAAAAAAACAAAGAAAAACAATAAAAACAAAACACCACACACATTTGCATAAGTATAATAAAGAAACTATACCTAAAATATATTAAGCAATAACATTTAAAAGAATGCGAATATATTTTATAGCTTGCAATCAAGGAGAGAAAGTCATAAAGTCAGTGGACAGACACAGACATCTGTTCTTGCCCTCCCAGCTTCTGGTTCCTCCTTGCTGTTCCCATTGTACATCCATTCTCATTCTTGACTGTTGTCATGCCTCTTTCAGATGCGGTATGATAAATGGTGTCATACAGACAGGCAAGCATGTGTGTGCTGTCAATGTGAGGCCGCCATGTCATAAGGGGCTATAACTGCATACACATGGCCCCGTTATAATCATTTCTTCACCATTATTGATACTGTTTCTGATTCTCTGATGAAACTCTAGTTGAAATGATAGAGAAAAATTATCAGCGGTAATGGAACAACCATAAAGAATCATAGGAACTCTCCTGGTCCCTACCATAGTACAAAAAATTAACACACTTTTATTGAAAATAGAGAGAACAGGACAAAAGCAAACATATAAAAAATTGTTAGGAAACATGTACATATATAACATCCTTGAACAGATATGCAGATAAAATAATCAGTATATATTCAAAATTAGATAATGTTCAGAATATCATCTACAATACCAAATTCATAATCGATATGTCTCAAAGAAATTATACAGAACATGTTCTTGATATTAATTGTAAATTACCAATAAAATTATGATGAAGTGTATTGTATCATCAGCAAAAATATTTCCAAGTTACCTTTGGATCAAATAAGGAATTATACTAGAAAGCACAAAGTATTTCAAAATAATGTGCATATACTACAGTGATATTGGTCAGGGATCAGCTTTAGAACCAAAGCAGAACACAAAAGTCACAGCTATGCAAACCTCTTATATTAACTGGCTTTGTGTTCACATGTATAATAGCATCACCATTTCATACATTAAAATCACCTTAATTAGGATAATGTAAATGATGTTTAAATTTTAGTATACTTCATTATTTGCAGAATAAGGGCTAAAAGGTCACTACAGGTTAAATGACATGTTCTGATGCGAAGAATATTTTTGATCCATGCTTTATTGAATCTGCAGACATGAGAACTGAAAAACACAGAGGAGGAAATATAGATATAAAATGTGTGTGATTAATCTAGAAAACATTTGTGGATAAGTAGGTAAACCTAAAGGCATGCTTTGAAACAAAAAAAAAGCTTAACATACAAAGTGTGTTCAACTTACAACAACAACAACAAAAGAACAACATTATAAAGCTAAATGGCAGAAAGAGAAAAATGAAAATAAGAGAAAACACTAGAAAACTAAGCTGAGACATCAAAATGAATCAAGAAAACTAGATAGAGCCTTCAGAGTTACTCAGGAAACTGAGCTGATATGATAAACAATATAAAAATGAAAGAGAGGTGGCCATATAAATAATGAGTAGATTCTAAAAGGTCATCATACAATAGTGAAGAAACTGGGGTAAGTCGACTTTACAACTTCAGTGGAACGAATAGTTAAGTCACTCTGGAAAACTCGAAATCTAATTAAAAAGTTATGTGAAAAGGTCTCTGAGAAATTCTACGAAAAATTGTGACTTTGTCAATTAGCAGGAATAGACCAAGTAGAAATTATAGCACCTTTTAATAATGATGAAATTGACAAATTATGGGAAGAAAGTGAACCCTGGCAAAGATCTTGAGAGAGATTAATGACAACTATCCCTAAATCGAGATAATTCAACTTCTAAAAGTAACTGCATTCTTCTTTGCATTGTATGGGATACACCAAAAACTGGAGCCACTACATTCTATACTGATGAAAATGAATCAGAAAAGGAAGGTTACAAATTGGAAAATTTAAGTAAAGTGGATCAAAGCTCTTACAATTCTGTCCAAAAGTCAAAATTACATGCTATTCTCATAGTCCTAAGGAATTTTAAAGAACTTCTCAACATAGTTATCAATTTACAATATGCAGAAAGAATTGATTTACATATGGAAACCACTGAATTTATGCCAGATGATACAGATTTGAATTCATTGTTTATTCAGTTACAAGATACAATCAGAAATAGGCATCATTCCATATATATAACACACATCTGATCCCATACAGGTTAGCCAGGTTCTTTAGCACAAGGTAATATAGAAATCAATTAATTATTGATTGGAAGCATGCTGAAGGCCTCAGAATTTCATATAAAAACATGTCAATAGCAAAGGTTTAAAAAAGACTTTTCTATCACAAGACAACAAGCCAAGGAAATTGTAAGGAAATGTCCTACTTGTCCCTTATACAATCAAACACTGCCTGCAGGAAGTAACCCAAAGGATACACAAAGGAATAAATCTGGCAGATGCATGTATTCCATTTTGTAGAATTTGAAAAACTAAAATATGTACAACATACCATTGATACGTATTCAGGTTTTTAATGGGCAACTACTCTGAGTTAGAAAAAGGTTGATTTGGTAATCACACATTTGCTAGAAATTATGGTCATCATGGTATGCCTGTACAAATAAAGGCAGACAATGCTCTAGCTTATGTGCCTAAGAAAATGAAACTACTTTTTACTTATTATAATATAAAGCATATTACAGGTATTCCATACAATCCTACAGGGCAGGCAGTTATAGAAAGATCAAATCACACGCTAAAGGATATGTTAAATAAACAGACAGGGATGATAAATACCCCCAGAAAGACATTGCATAACGCTTTACTAACTTTAAATTTTCTGAATGCTAATGAGCAAGGTGCAACAGCTTCAGAGAGACATTGGATAGTAGAATAACTATAGAATTAATCAGCTTATATACTTTAAAAATATACTAACCTCAGGATGGAAATAAGAAAATGTGTTAAATTGGGGAAGTGATTTTGCTTTTGTTTCCACGGGGAGAGAAGAAAAGCAATGGACACCATCAAAATTGATAAAGATTCAATTTGAACAAGAAACACTTCTTACTTAGAAGAGATATAGTTCATCAAACATCATGGCCATTTAATCTAAACTAACTTTGAAAACTAACAAATGCTTTTTATTTGATCAGATACAGCTTGTCAAATGGAATCTTCCTAAAAAGGGTTGGGGAAGGGTTTCATTTCTGTCTCTTCAAAATAAAATTATCCAGTTAAGTATCTGAAGACAACTGGACAAATGAGACATTTAAAGAAAATGGACAAATCATCCAGAAAAAAAATGTCTCAAGAAAAAGAGTAAATTGGCCTGCTGGTATATCATATTTCCAACAGGATAAAATTTCATAAATCTTCCCTTATGTTTGTTTCTGCTGTTCTCTACAGACATATAATGCAAATGGTCTTTTTGAAGTCCCAGTCTAATTAAAACTTTAACCTGACTTTGGAGTTGGCATGTGAGTTTCTTTTTCTCTAAACTTTTAGCATGCTTATTAAAGTGAAATCCAAAATCTTTGTCTCATATCAGAAGAATCACCTATACAACTCATTTAACAATGTAATGCAAATTTCTAGTCCTTGAAAATTATTATTACTGTTTAGGATAATAAGGAAAAGCAGATTAGTAGTTAATTACCTATTATAATCACTCTTGTAGTCATATTTAAGTATGTTTTCAAAGTCAA